TGGGGTCATTTGGCGAAAGTTAGGAATTTGAAGGTTTTTGAGAAGTTTGACCGGAAATGGACTTTTGATATCGGGGTCGGATTCCGACTATGGAAGTTGGAGTAGGTCTGTAATGTCGAATGTAACTTGTGTGCAAAATTTAACCGGACGTGATTTGATAGATTTCGGCATCGAATGTGGAAGTTTGAAGTTCTAAAGTTCCTAAAGCTTGAATTGGGGTGCGATTCATGATTTTGGCGTTGTTTGATGTGATTTGAGGCCTCGAGCAGGTCCGCATTATGTTTTGGAACTGGTTGGTATGATTGGACGGGGTCCGAGGGTCTCGAGTGGATTCCGGGGGGATAACAGATCGAAATTGAATTTGGAGAAAGAGCTGAAGCAGCTGGGCATCTGGTGTAATCGCACCTGCGTGAAGAGGGCCGTAGGTACGAGCCCGCAGGTGCGGCTAGGTGGTCGTAGAAGCAACATTTGGACAGAGCTGGATGGGTGCAGATGCGAGGGTATTTGAGCTCCGCAGAAGCAGAACGCGAGAGGGCCAGCTGGGTCGCAGAAGCGGAAGGGCATCCGCATATGCGAAGGCGTAGAAGCGCGTGGAGGACCGTAGAAGCGGATTTTGCCTAGATTGGAGGGAACCGCACCTGCGATGGATTTTTCGCAGGTGCGGAGGCGCAGTTGCGGCTGGTGTAGATGCGGAAGGTCGGCTGAGCAGATTGTTTTAAAGACGAGACTTGGCCCATTTTTCTTCCATTTTTCACTCGGTAGAGGCGATTTTGGAGAGCTTCAAGGAGGTGTTTTGTTCAAGCATCACAGGGTAAGTGATTCTCACTTATTATAAGTTAAATACGTGGTTTGTATAAGGATTTAAATATGAAAATTAGTAGAAATGTGGGGTTTTGGTACAAAACTTAAAATTTGGTATTTTTGGATTTAGACCACAAATTTGAGCATGAAATTGAGAATAAATTATATATTTGAGTTCGTGACGTTATAAGTTTATCTTCAAAAAAATTCGAAATTCGGGCACGTGGGCCCGAGGGTAATTTTTATCAACTTTTCGAGTGGAGTGAAGAATTGTTGTAAATAGGATTATAATTAATAAGTGCTTGAGTATATATTTATGGAATTGCTCAATTTTTGACTAGTTTTGGAGAATTGGGCATCAGTTTGAGTTGTCGGAAGGGCTTGGGAGCCGGTTATGGAATTTTGGAGCGAGGTAAGTCTCCTTTCTAACCTTGTAAGTCGGACTTAATCCCATAGGTGAATAATTCAATGTGTGCTTCTATTTGAGGGCTACAAACACACGAGGTGACGAGAGTCCGTGCGTAGTTATTATTATGCTTAAGTCCGGGTAGTCTAGGACCCAAATTATGCTATACTTGCGATGTTTGCAACCTTATTGTTAATTTAAAATTGCCTAAATCATATTGAACTTGGTAAATAATTTTTTTTTTAAAAAGAAGTTAAACTTCGTTTTTCTTGACCGTTAAATGAGAATTGACATTTCCTTGGATAATTTCTCCTTAAAGAATTCTTGATTGATTGTTTGATTATGTTCTTCTTTCGTGGAGCCGTCCGAACGCCTCGGCAGATTAGATAAATGCATTTATGATTCGCGCCGTTCGACCCTCCAGTGCATAATTTATTTTTATTATTGTATCGGGCCGTACAACCTCGACATGATTTGAGCATGATTGAATTGATTGCCTGGAAATTTATAATAAATGACATTATCTCATTGGCCTGAGATAAATTGTTAAATCATGAGAAATAACTTTGGAGCTTACTTAATTATAAAAGATTTATTTACTTGCTTCATAATATTGAGCTTACAGTCGTTCTATATAACCCATATTAAAATTATATCATTGGCATTTTTAATTATAGCCCATAGTGAGTGTCCGAGTCGACCCCTTGTTACTAATTCTTCGAGGTTAGACTGGATACTCACTGGGTACGCGTTGTTTACGTACTCATACTACACTTGCTGCACATTTTGTTGTGCAAGCTCATATATATTTAACGGCCTTGTGGGAACAACAGTGTGGTTAATGCGGGGACTTAGGTGAGCTGCATTCTATGTTACGACCCGCAGCCAGCAGAGTCTCCTTCAGGGTATTTACATTTTTCTTTCCTGTCCGAATTTGTATTCTGGACAGATACTGTATTTCATTTTATTTCCTAGTTGATGCTCATGCACTTGTGACACCGGATTCTAGGGTGATTATGTGCTATTTAGTAACGTGATTGTTAAAAACATTATTATTTACTCTGAAGTTTTTATCTTCTACTATTTAATTGAAGGAAATTATGATTTTAAAAATATTAAAATGAGAACAAAATTAACTATTTAGTGTTGGCTTGACTGACAGTGGTGTTCAGGGCCATCACGACCTTTAATGGATTTTGGATCGTGACATGGGAGTAGCCGTTATCCTCATCTTTTCAACACTTCAGGTATGTCTCTATACTCGTTCGAGGATGAACATTTGTTTTAAGAGGGGGAGGATGTAACGATCCGACCGATCGTTTTGAGTATTTTAGCCATGTCCCCTTATTTATTGCCTCCTCTGTGCTGTATTTTGATCATGTGACTTGCCGAGGATGTTTGGTTTTGGTTCGGGTGAGTTTCAGAGTGAAATGGGACACATAGTCCCTAAGTTGGAAGTTTAAGTAAGAGGTGTTGACCATAGTTTTTGACTTTTGTATAGACGACTTCGGAATGGAATTTTGTCGGTTCTAATATCTTTGTATAGTGATTTTTATTACTTAGGAGCGTGCGCGGATGTTAGTTTAGATGTCTGTAGGTCGTTACGGCTTGAATTGGCAAAAGCTAGAAAGTTGAAGGTTTGGAAGGTAGAGAATTTCGTCTGGGAGTTGACTTTATTGACACGAGGGTCGAATTCCCATTCTGAAAGTCGGAATAGGTCAGTCATATCGTTTATGATTTATGTGAAAAATTTGAGGTCAATCGGAGTTGTTTTGGTATGATTAGGCGTTGGTTTTAGAAGTCGGATGTTCATGGTTTCCATAAGCTTGAATTGGGTTGCGATTCGTTGAATCAATGTTGTTTGATGTGATTTTTGGCCTCGAGTAGGTCTGTTATGTGTTTTGGAACTTGTTGGTATATTCGGACGGGGTGTGATAACCTGATAGGTCATCTAGAGTTTAAAACCTTAATTCTGTGTTTCGAAACCTCAAATATCTCATTTTAGCCTTCCTCGATTTGCATGAACAGTCTATGACTTTTTCCGGAAGGCTTTTATGTCAAAAATTGATAAAATGTGAAATTTTGCCTTAAATAATAAATAATTGCCCATATTATGGAATAATGGCATATATCATATGTATAATATTTATAGTCGTGGTGAATACAAAAAATACTAAGTAATATATTTAGATTTACTTAACTACTTATTACTAATTGTTAGAGACTTTTTTTAGTACTTATGTGGTAATGCCATCAATTATCTATATTTATATCTATATTATTATAAAAGTACGAATAATTTATGCTAAATATTGAATGACTAAAATAACCTTGAAATATTGATTGACTTTTATAACCTTAATTATCTGTATAATTTAAGAATATGATTGTAAATTACATGAAACTGGTTTTTCTTTCCATTTAAACTACGCATACATCAATGTTAGATAGTTGAGTTTGGGTCAAATTCTTTTTCTCTGCGGCATACTTCTTCTTGTATCCTACTTTTTGTTGGACAATATATGGCTGATTTGGTTTCTCCTCACCGCCAACCTTTTTTTGCTAGCCTTTTCCTTTTTTGACAACAATATTTTCCTTATTTAATCTTCTCCCATAGAATTCAGCTTAATTGCACGAATCCATATAGGAAAAGAATAAGCCAGTTATTCCTATAAAAGATGCTATTGTTCCACATCATTCATTATTCTCTAAAGGTTTTAGTGTAGAATGAAATAATTTTCTCCAAAGTATTATTAGTTCTCTCTATTGTTCCCGTTTTTCGTAATTGAGTAAGTTCGCATTTTTCGTAATTGAGTAATGCTTTAGGGTCATGTATATGAATTAGAGAGAAAAACAATGACATCTTAACTTTTATTGTAATTATTTTTTGTGTCGTACTTTTTTCGGCGTAGTTTTTAGTTTTAGATATCAAAGTCTTTTACATTGACGTAGTATTATGTTTAGATTGTATATCAATAGAGATTAATGGTTTGTGTAATAAATATAGATAGATAGATAGATATATCCAAAATAATTCCAAGTACCATGAATCAAAAACTTTTCAGTGTGTTTGTATTTTGCAGCAAAAGTAAATAAAGAATATGGTCAAGCAATTCCCAATATCAAATTATATTAGACGCAACATATTCTCTCGCGCGCATACACACAGACATATTGATAATAAGACTTTAATTTGGTCATGACAGAGTCATTAAAATGATATGATAAGAACATCATTTATAGATACATATAAGGTAAGATATAACCGTATAACATGTTTATACCACATAACCAAAAGTGTTGCAATTACAGATTAAAAGTCTATTACTTTCGTATGCGTTTTGTTATATTTCACATAAGATACTCGTGCACCGCACGAACATAGAGACTAATAAGTGTAAAATTTGAGAAGTACGAGACTTAAGGGATTGACTTTTTAAAAAAAAAATTGGTGCAAGTACATGTGTCAATTTAGCTATTTTGCTTGTTAAAAAAAAGAGCAACTATACTATGCAAAAAAAATAAAAAAAAATAAAAATAAATTTAGAATTGCTGGAAAGGGAGCTGTCACCTTTAATTTGAAGTTAGGGGCCGTTTGGTTCAAGGTATTAGGTGAGTTATTCAAGTATAAATTTTGGGAATAAATTTATTTTGGTTGGAAATATTAGCTAAAAAAAGAATTATCATTAATTTCAGTATAACTTATCTCATATAAATAATTTTTTTAGTATAAGTTATCCCATAATTATAATCCAGAATATCTGTTTTAAGCCAAACAATGGATAGAAAGTACTACTCATTGTCACGTGACAATCAAGTTTTCTGCGAAATTAGGGCACACAAAGATCCCAAAATTGGGGCACACCGAGTTAGAGCGGAGCTCCACCCGCAAACAAAATTGAAGATGGCGAGAATTGCTCTGCTGCGTTACTCTTCCAATGGTATTATTCCCTGCTTCATCTCCTTCTTTGCTAATTCCCATTCTGCTCCGGCAATTGCAATCAGATCTTATTCCTCACCTCATAGCAATATTGAGAATGTCAAGTGTTTAGATGATGCTCTGACTCTCTTTCGTCAAATGGTCAGAACTCAGCCTCTTCCTTCTGTTTTTAGCTTCTCCAAATTATTAAAGACTATGGTAAATATGAAGCATTACTCTTCTGTTGTTTCCCTTTTTCGACAAATGCTGAAATCGAGTATCCCAATTGATGGTTTCATCTTGAATATAGCAATTAACAGTTATTGCCTAATGCATCGTTCTGACTGCGGATTTTCAATGTTAGCTATTTACTTGAAGAGTGGCATTCCATTTGATGTTATCACATTTAGCACCTTACTAAGGGGACTCTTTGCTGAAAATAAGATAAAAGATGCGGTTAACTTGTTCAAAAAGTTGGTGAGAGAGAATATTTGTGAGCCTGATGAAGTCACGTATTTAATTGTCATGAATGGGCTTAGCAAAATGGGCCATACTCAAAAAACATTCGATTTGCTTAGGGTAATGGAACAAGGAAGCACTAAGCCCAACACATACATCTACAACATTGTTATAGATGCTCTTTGCAAGGATAGAATGATAGATGATGCAATTAGCCTTTTTGAAGAGATGAAACAAAAAGGCATTCCTCCAGATGTTATCGCATATAGTTCATTGATTGATGGTCTTTGTAAATTTGGTCTGTGGGAGAAGGTTAGGACTTTGTTCTTCGAAATGGTAAATCTTAATATTTATCCAGATGTCCGCACCTTCAACATACTGATAGATGGGCTATGCAAAGAAGGAAAAGTTGAAGATGCCGTGGAGGTAATGAGACACATGAATGGAAAAGGTGTGGAGCCTAATGTGGTCACCTACAATGTGATAATTGATGGATATTGCTTGCGCGGTCAAATGGATAGAGCAAGGAGCCTTTTTGATTCCATGATTGATAAGAGCATTAAGCCTGACATTATTAGCTATAGCACACTAATAAATGGATACTGTAAGAAAAAGAAATTGGATGAGGCCATGCATTTGTTTTATGAAATTTCTCAAAATGGACTGAAACCTGACATTGTTACCTACAATACTATCTTGCAAGGTCTATTTGAAGTTGGAAGAACTGACTTTGCGCAAAGATTCTTTGCTGATATGCTATCCACGGGGCTCGGACCTGATTTATGTACTAATCGCATTTTGCTCCGTGGTTATTTTCAGAATGGACTTATTGAGAAAGCTATGATGCTATTTCATGAGTTGGAAAGAAAGAGAGAATATACTCATATTGAATTTTATAGTGTTGTAATAGACGGATTGTGCAAAACTGGCCAGCTCGATAGAGCTCATGCTATTTTTGAGAAGCTTTCTTTAATTGGATTGTTTCCCGATGTGATAACATACAATATAATAATAAATGGATTTTGTCTAGAAGGGATGTTAGATGAAGCTAAAGATATGCTAAGAAAAATGGAAGAGAATGGTTGTTCGCCGGACAATGCCACTTACAATATTATTGTGCAAGGACTTCTCAAGTTTAGCAAAGTTACTGAAATGACAACCTTTCTGAAGGAAATGAATGAAAGGGGCTTCTCATTTGATGCAAGTACAGTAGAGTTACTAATAGATGTTATAGCGAAGCATCCTTCTTTGCTTGACATGATACCACAGTTTCACTCGGGAAATAAGAAGTGATATGGATTTCAGTTAATTTATTCAGCAATACTTATCACTATGATGCAATTTCCTTTTACCTATGGAAAAGAAATCACATCTAATGGAATTGCAGAAGCTGGAAGAATGGAAATTAGAACATTGCTTGAGCTTTCCAAGCCAGCGGAGGTACATCAGTTTTGATATTTGATTGTTGTGCCACCCTACTTTATTTTGAAAATCATATTTTATTGCAATCTTAATATGAGAAACGATGCACGTTTCTTTATATGTACATATTATAAGTCTAGGAATAGCATACAGGACTGCAGAGGAAGCAGAAGCTGTTGTTGCACAGCTTTCATTAATGACACTGCTAACAGTTGCTTTTCAAAAGGTAAAACCCGTTGTTAACTATGTTCTCCACTTGGATCTTTTGAAATGTATTTATTATCGGATGCCTTCATTCATATGAACAGTTACCTTGTTAACCATTTTTATTATCTATTTGCCCTGTGCATTTCTTGATTTGAAGAATTGTCTGTTATGTAAGGGATATTCGTAGCTTGAATTGGGCGGATGGCCTGTTAACATAAAGATGACCAGTAGTTTCTGGAGGAATTTGTTTTTTATTCTAATATTTAGTATTTGGAGGGGTTTGTGACAGTTCGCAAGAGCTTTCTGCTGCTATTACTGCTATTTGTATTTTATGCTTCATCTATGATGCTTCCAGAAACTAGGACAGTATATCTTGTGATTCAAACTGAATTTGTTCCCAATATTTGAATTTTCAGAAAAAACAAGAAGCATTTACTTCTCTTTTCCATATTCATCCTTATTAACGTATCATTAATTCATCCTTAAGGGGGATGTGCAAAAAACTTAAAGACAGTTAAAATGAATCGAATCTGTAGTTTTTCCAGTTTTCATTTTGCAAATTGGCACGGAAATTGACAGTCGACGAAGTCATTCTTGCACCACTCTTATGGATTTTATACTCTCAGTAAGTGACATTTTTTTTTTGGTTCTCTATTTTCATTTTGGCCCAGCGTAATACCAGCAGTTACAAGAATTTCTTGCAATAACTGGCACAATATGCAGAACTTTGCTTGTCTGAATCTAACATTCTTCTCAAGTTGTAGAAATTGAAGGAAAAGTCTTCTTCTGCCTTCTTTACTCTTGATCCAAATTGAGGATAAAGCAACTTTTCAGGCTAATAGTTGTTTTTTGTCTTGAGATTAACATGAATGGAATTTTAGTGCAGCTGGAAGATTCTCGAAAAATTACTTTTGTGCCGTAAATTGACAATTCTTACAATTTCAGGCAAGTTCTTTTGTACCAGTGATCATTCAACTATTTCCTCGGACTTGGAAGGTGAAATTTTCAATCTGAGATCAAGAAAAGGTGAAAAGCTTAAGATGTTCTGTTTCTTTTGATAAAAAATACACTCGAAATCTTTTTGAGATTTTGGTGTCATTACCTTTGCTTTTTCTGCTTATTCATCTAAGCATCCTTCATTTAGAAGATTTTTTTTTCTGTTGTAGAACATTGCTTCAAACAACAAGCACTTCAATATTTGGTGGACACTAGTACTGCTTTATCAATTGTTACACCTTGTTTTGTTTCATACTCTCTATAGTGTCTTTTTTGTGTCTAAAAAGGTTTTATTAATTCTTTTGTGTCTTCCAAGTAAACGAGTTTAAGTACATTGAAAAAAATGAGATTTCCGCTTGCTGCTTTACAGCTTAATCCAAAAGGTTGCATTTTGCCTAGTTCTGTTCAGTAAAAAAGTGAATTTTTATCCCACGTAGTGTATGAAGTACCTTCTTCAACTCTATTTATTACTAGTAATTTATTTTTGGCAGTTCATCTGCAACTTTATCCTCTATGCTATTTAATTCTGCTTCTTTTTTGAATGTCTAAATTAGATTGCTTACAGAAGTTTCTAACTATAGTCCAAGAGAAAGCTGCACGAAATGAAAGAACCTTAGTGTACCTGTGTTACCATAGTAAAAGGATGAGCTCATATAATACTGCAGTGGAAGCAGAAGAGGCTGTTGCACACCTAGCACTTATGTCACTGGTAACAGTTGCCTTTCAAAAGACAATTTTTTTCATACTATTATAGAGCAGATTTAACTTTTCAGGTTATTCTTGCTACACTTGTACCAGAGACATTCATTTCATAATGTGCTTGCATACAATTTTGGATTAGCAGTCCAATAGACAATGATCATCCATAGATAATCTGTTAAGTAGCTGCTCAACCGGTGAAATTGCTTTTATGTTCTTACTAATCTATGTCTTGGCGAATACAAGACGATGCTCTAGTTTTTAATCTATGTTGCTCGGACTCTCCAAAAATATCGATGGGTGCGTGTCGGATCCTCCAAAAGTAGTGTATTTTTGGAGGATCCGACACGGGTACAGCAACTGTTTTGGAGAGTCTGAGCAACATAGCTTTTAGTTCACTGATCTGTAGCGGTTATTCCTCTTAATCACAGGACATGTCTTAGATGTCTTGGAGATGACAAATTCTTCATATTTCAGGTGACGAAATGGCATGCCTGAGTATTTTTCTTCTTTAAGTTGCATTTTCATTAAGGTCGAACAGAATGACAATTTCTTAAATAAGTTTAACTGCTGCTTGATGGTTAGAGGCCTCAGATGCTTCTGATCTCATTTCCCTTTTATAGTAGTAACATTTTCTGCTTTATATGTCGAGTTAAATGAGCTCTTAGGACTTGGATTTGGTCATTTGCTCTCCCCTTCAGTGAGCACACATGAGATGCCAACCATTTCACCTCATTAGCACTTGTGATTTATTTAAATGATGCTTTCTTTTAGATTCATAACAAATTTGATTGATTAAAATTTTAAAACTGAATTGTTATTCTATTGACAACCATAGATGCAAATTACCCACAACTAAATTTGAGCTACAGAAAGACTAGTTTCATTTTTCTTCAGCTTCATTTGTAGACCTCATCACGTTAGCGACATAGACCCGTATAAGAACCAACATAGAAACAATAGTCATTTTCATTATTTTCCTTGGCTTCTTCAGGTTTGCAGCCAAACGACTAGAAATTGAGGTTGTTTCATCATCCGTCTCATCATCTGACAATTCACTTTCAGATTCACTGTAAGAACTACTTTTATCTGCTCGTGATTTTTCTGCAAGATTTTTAGCTTCTGTTTGCTCACAGGCTTTAGGACTAATGTTCTTTTGCTGGCAATTCTTTATCCTTTTTCACTGCTCAAGTTATCAGTGTTGGTTGTTTTTAACGTGAATAGTGCCATTTTCAAACTTTGCACTGATTTTTCTTTTGTTAATTTTCTGCAACAGGAAAATCCTTCTGAAACCTTTGCCATTTGTTTTGTGAAGTCGGCCTTTGTCCACTGATCTTCAGAATTCCTGTTCTGGTCAGTTGAACCCTCAGCTGGTCCTTCTTGAAACCAGTGTGACATATGAAATCAATACATAGCAGAAGATAGAGAATAACCTTTCAAGGTTAGCAATGAAAATTATAAAGAAAATAACAATATTCGTGCGTGAAGTGGATATATAACTTCTGAGAATAGTGTCCACAATCTTTATTAGTCGGATTTGAATATGTCAATGTCTTTAGAGCAAATCTTACAGGGCTGAAACAGTGATCTTGTCAGTTATTGTTTTTTGAGGTAAGAAACATTTATTGATTTTCTTTTAGTTTTATGCTTTTCTTCCAATATTAAAAAATCTAAAAAGAAGAGCAGTGGATATTATTTGACTCCTATAATGCTAACACAAAATCTGCACATAATCTGCACAATTCAAAAGTCAAAATGATAGTTCACCTCAATTTGAATTACATACATTGCAATGCAACACACTAGACAGTTTATTGTGTTGAAGACATAATTAAGTAAATAAAAGTGTATTTTTTCTAACAACTTAAATTTTTAGATGAGATGGTCACATACTTTAACATGGTAATAGAGCATATTAAAACGAATTTTCACGTGTTTGGCTCATCAAGAAAAATTAAGCCGGCACATGAGGGGTCGTGATAAAAGTGTGTCATATATAACAACTTAAGCTTTTAGATGAAATTGTCTCACCCTTCAATGTATTGGAACAAAGAAAACATCTCAAGGGAGGATAATAACATGAAAAAAGCCAATTGAGATTGGAAAATTTATATGACAAGACAATTACAGGGAAAAGGAAATTGAATAACAACAAATTAAAGCAATTAATAGCGGTGATAAATTTATTCCTCTGAGCTAAAATCTAAAAGCCATTGCTAACCTTTCATTATCAAAATCAAGGCACAAAATCTCAGTAGCCTGGGCTATTTAGCAATGGTACATTAGTAAAACTTAACTAGACACAAAAGGAGAGATTGACGTATCGATGTCTTTAGATAAAAAGGGAAAGGATATTACATATATGTTAATTCTAGTGCGAAAATGAGCAAAGCTAATTCCTTTATAGTAAATTGGCGCATAAAAAGAAAATTGCAACAATTTTTGTCTGCCTACTTTTTTTGTTTTGTAACGATGGGTCGATAGAATGGAGTACTTCATGAAATTCAAATAAAGCAATCAAAATTGCAACCATTTTTTTAGGAACATTTTCTGTATTATGAGAATTTATCATAAATTGACTAACTTTATGTTGTGCATCAATAAAAGAAAAGGAATGGATATCACATGCTGGGTCCGTAATAATTTTCGTCAAACCTAATGATTTTCGTCAAACCTAATAAAGACAGTAACAAGCAATGCAAAATAGAGTTGAAAATTGAGTCGAGTTAGTGTGGAATTGAGGCTTAACAAAATGATTTAAGTTCTTACCAAAAATCACATTAATCCACCCAGTGAAAACTAATAACCGGTAGCCACAAAATAAAGTGAGAGATGACAACAGGTAACCACTTTTAAGCATGCTGTTTAAAATATATCCACAATTTACAATGTATTTAAAGATTAGCTAGTTTCGCTCAAACTTCAGGACACGGCGTCCTAAAGTTTAAACCTTAAAATTCGAACTTCAGGACATCGTGTCTTAAAGTTAAAAATTTTTAACCTGAAGTTCGAATCTTATGTCTTGAACTTTAAATTTTCAATTCAGCAATTCAGGATACTTAGTTCCGAATTTCAAACTAGTAGCTCAAAAAGTCCTGAATTTCCAAATTTAGGATACTTAGTCCTGAAGTCCTACAGTTTAAACCAAAATTCAAACTTCAGGACATCGTGTCCTAAAATTCGAAAACTGTGTCTAGAAGTTCGAATCTTATGTCCTGAATTTTGAATAAGTAATTCAGAAATTCAGGACACTTAGTCCTGAATTTCAAATTAGCAGCTCAAAAATTGAGGACACTAAGTCTTGAATTTTCAAATTCAGGATACTTAGTCCTGAAGTTTGGGTGTGGCTAATCTTTAAATACATTGCAAATCTTGGATATATTTTAAATAGCGGATTTGAAAGTGAATATTGCTGCACTTCACCCCAAAATAAACCATACAATCCATAGTCTAAAACCAATCATAACGACCAATCTAAAAAAGGGCATGATATCGCATAAGCAAAAATACACGTGATATAAGAAGAAGAACAAGGTGATATATACATTATACATGCAGTATACACATTATACAATAGTGTTAACGGTATATACACTTTTTATACATCGTAGAATAATATATATATTTTTTATACATTAATTGTAGGATAGCATATATACTTCAAATGCACAAAAAGATACACTAATGAAACATTAGAGATAAACTGAAAAATGCAAAATACATAGTATATATAAGTCTTATGCACCGTATTTTATATATATATATA